TTTAAATACTTGATTCCCAGAGAGTGATGCTATTGTGCCCAGGTCATGAAGGTCCCCAAAGAGACCAGGGAGACAGACCCACCGACACAAATGTACAAGGTTTATTTGATTGCCCTATCCTTCTGAAAGAAGGACCCCATCTAGCAAGCAACCACAGAAGCCTCCAGAGGGAATGCTCTCTTGGTCTACTGCTATGTTTTTTTAAAGGAAAAACTGCAGGATTACATCAGTGGGAGGGGAAGGGAGTGGGTGGGCTCCTGATTGGATGACATTTGGAGAACAATCAAGAAAATTTTCAAAGTCATGTTTTTGGTGTGTAATACCTCTGCACCTATTATTTTCATAGGTCAGTGTTGGGAAGGAACATTCTGTGGTTTCTATGGCTTGCAGATGGCCTATTGTACCAATATTTTTCAGAACTGAATTTCCTGGAGACTACAAGGGAAGTTTCTTTTGTGGCCAAACAGTCCCCAGGATCCAAGTATCTAGGAGGCTAGGGGGGTCTGGAGTTCCTCTGCGTTCAGTTTTGGCCCTAGGCCTGTTGCATACAACATAGTCCCTAGGAGGTAAGGCTGGTGGGGAGGGTTGATCTGGAGTTTTCAGCTTTTCAATGCTATAAGAGGAGCTTGTAGATTAGGTAGGATGTAGGACCTAGCTAAAAAATAGACAAACACCAAGTCATGCGGTGCGGTTGTATTATCCCTAGCCATTTTCTGTAACTACTGTTTCCTGGTTGTTACAAATGAATGTTTCTTCTCTGCTATATGCTATCATCACAATGATTCTCTGTTCAAGTGAATGGAGACAAATGATCATGGACTGAACTCTCTCAAATCATGATCCAATATAAACCCTTCATATGTTGTTTCTGGCAGGTATGTGGTCATAGGGATGCAATTATCATGAACTATTATTAAGTTTTAAAAAGAACAAAATTTTGATATATGGAAAAGCTTTTAAAATATTAATCTAAGTGAAGTAACCCATAAGTAAAGGACAAACATTGCATGATCTGCTTATGTGAGCTACTGTTATTAACAGAGACAGTGGGAGAGAAGAGCTTACCAGGTACAGGGAGAGAGAGAGAGAAAAAAGAAAAAAACAAAGGCTATTTAATGTGTGGAACTTCAGTTTTGGATGATAAAAAATGTCTCTGGAGATCGATAATGGTGTGGTAGTTTGAATAAGAACAACCCCTATAGGCTCATATATTTGACTATTTAGTCATTAGTGCCACTTGAGAAGGATTAGAAGGACTAGGAAGTGTGGCCTTATTGGAGGAAGTGTGTCTCTGGGGTTGAGCTTTGAGGTTTCATAGGCCCATGTCAGGCGCTTGCTCTCTCTCTCTCTGTCTCTGTCTCTCTCCTTTCCTCTCTCACTGTCTGTTTTCTGTCTCTGTCTCTTTCCCTCTCCTCTCACTATCTTTGTGTCTCTCTCTGTCTCCGTGTCTCTATATCTCTCTCTCCTCTCTCACTGTCTCTGTCTCTCTCTCTGTTTCTCTGTCTCTCTCTGCCTGTAGATCAGGATGTAGCTCCCAGCTACTGCTCCAGTGACATGTGTGTTGCCATGCTCCCCAGCATGATTATAATGAACTAACCCTCTGAAACTGTAAGTAAGCCCTAATTAAATGCATCCTTTTATATAAAGAGTTGCCTTGGTCATCTTGGTCATGATATCTCTTCACAGCAATAGAGCACTTAGACAATGGTAATAACAGTCTAATAAGATGAATGTACTTGAATGTTATTTTTACATGTAAAATGGTTGATGGTAAATTTTGTGTATATTTTACCATAATATGTAAAAAAAAAAGAACTAAACACAAATGAGATACTCTGTTAGGATCGTCTTCACAGAGATAATGGCTAGCAGTTTTGAAATTATGTGTATGGCTTGAAGACATCAATTTATTTGGACAACTAGATAGTTTTTTTCATAGTAAGAAAAAGAAGTGTGTCCCTAACAATATGCTTAGTTCTGTGATGATATATTAATTATGATTTATTAAAGCTTGCCTAAGGGTTCAGAATGCAAAACTAGCCACAGGCAATTAATGCCAGCAGCCATTAGCTATAGAAGTTAGCTATAGAAGCTGGGTAGTGGTAGCATACACCTTTAATCCCAGGACTCCAGAGACAAAGGCAGATGGATATCTGTGTGTTCAAGGCCACCAGGGTTACATTAGCGTGAATCAGTCTAAAAAAGAGAAAACAGTTCACACAAAGGTGATCTCAGCACCTGGAATCACATGCCTTTAATCCCAGCACTAGGGAGATGGAGACAGGAGTGAAATGGCTAGGCAGAGAGAGGTATATAAGGAAGAAGTAAAGTCAGTTTCAGAGATTTATTCTCCAGACACAGTAAGGGCAGGATAGTCCTTTCAGCCTGAGGTAGAGTAAGAGCTAGTGGCTGGCTGCTTTGCTTCTCTGATCTTCAGCTTGAAGCTTGAATCCCAATATTAGGCAAACTCAGAGACTAGTAGGGTTGAAGCTGGGATTTTATACAACAAAAATCCCATGATTTAGAATGATAACAGTAATATATAATTATATAATAATAAATATCTATATAAATTGCTGTATAGCATTTTCTTCTGGGATAGAACCTCTATCTGGAAGCTCTTAAAGCTCAAATATAAACAACTCAAAGAATTGAGGACATCTTTGAAACTGAACAGATATACTATTTCCCTCCCTCCCCAAGGTTACATAAGCAATGAGAGCTGCTGAGAGACTCTCTGACCAGCTGAGCTGCTTAAGAGGAACATTTTCCAAATAATTGAACTGCTTGCAGGCTGTGCAGTGTGCTCCAGGTCTCCAGCTATCGAGAGCTGTCACCCATGCTGGAGTGGGCTTTGATGATGCAGCTGTCTTTGATTCATTTCTGATCTTGTAAGTTGCCCTAGAAAAACTCATTGGTTCACAAAGTTGGGTTTGGTAGCATCTTTACTTTGGTCTGTCACTGATTTTCTTTTTTCTTTTCTTTTCTTTCTTTTTTTTTTTTGGTTGTTTTTTTTCAAGACAGGGTTTCTCTGTGGCTTTGAATTCACAGATACTGCCTGCTTCTGTCTCCTGAGTGCTGGGATTAAAGGCATGGGATACCGACGCCCAGCTGTCATTGATTTTCTACTTAGTGAATAGACATTTGTTCAGGTCTTCCTAGGGAGAGTGTCACACAACAACTGAATACTAATTGAGGGAAAGACTAGGCTAGTTTCTCCTCACAGCAAATTGTAATTAGAATATGCAGAAAGAATGAGAGAAATTGAAAGTCATCATTAGGTAAATACTGAACAAATAGCTATTGAAAGTTACAAAAAAAATTCTATGCATGATAAAATTAGTTGTGAAAAGATATTTTCACAGTCCCCAAAAGATCAGAAAAAAAAATATTCTGTAATTGGGGAAAACTGGTAGTTTATATGGTAGTCAATCAGCATTAATAAGATGATCTGTATTCCATATCCTGCTCTCAATGCCACGATGGATAGAGATGGCACTCAGTAGTCTAGATAAAATTCATTATATCAGTGAGTCATTGGGAAAACATCCCATAAACCAAAATCAGTGGACAGTTTATTAAATCAGTAACTACTACACTTTACATGTCCAGATCATGACATGTCTAAGCAGATCATGACTAAGCAGCTGTCAGATGGAGAAGACCAAGGATATTTGGCAACTGAAAGCAATGTGGGAAACTACACCATAAAAAAGCCATTAAAGAAAGGGGGGGCATTAAGGGGAAATCAGTCATATGTGAAGTTCTATAGATTGGTTAATAGTAGTATATCAATGCTCATTTCCATCTTGTTTTTAAATATGTTAACATTGAAAATGTCTGAATTAAAGAATAAAATTTTACTATTTTTGTCAATCTCTGCAAATTCAAAACTATTTAAGAATAGAAGTTAAAAACAAAAACAAAAGCAAAAACAAAAAAACCAAAAAATTAAAAAAAAAAAAAAAACCCAAAATCTTCAACATGGTATCTAAACTTCTGGTGTCCATGGTTTGCAGTTTGCTGGAGTCAATAATTACCAATGAAACTGAATTACTACAACTGATAACTTAATTTTCTTTGTGAGATGAGGGCCTCTCTATTATTTATCCTGGCTGTCCTAGAACTCACTACATAGACCAGGCTGGCCTTGAATTTAGAGATCTGTTTCCTTCTGTCTCCTGAGTGCTGGGGATTAAAGGTGTACATCACCATGCTTGGCCTGATAACTCTTTTTAAGATAGAAAAATCCCCAGAGAAACCCTGACTTCTGAACTCTTTTTATTGACCTAGTGCAGCAATTTACATGCCAACAATTTTTCCTGCCATAATAGTAAAAAATTTAAGAACAAGAATCATAACTGATTCATTTTTGCATGCTTTTGGTACATGGTTTTGTTAAAAATTCATATTCATATTGATAAATAATACTCTGGGGCCGGAGAGATTGGCTCAGTGGTTAAGAACACTTTTTCTTGCAGAGGATCTAAGTTCAATTCCCAGCACCCACATCACAGCTCACAATCATCCATAACTCCAGTTTTAACATCCTCTTTTGAGGTTCCAGGTGCACAGACAGTCATGTGATCAAAGAACCCACATGCACATAAAATAAAAATATCTAAAATTAAAAAGAGTTCCTCTGGATGATTCACTTGTTTATAATAAAATTAATGTTGGTGCCTTTAAAATAAACACATTTACTCTATATTTAAAATTAGTGTTTTATGGCACGTAAATCTCTGATATAGATCGTTATTTGTCTTTACATCGAGTTCATTAATGTGACTTCTAAATTCTGTCCTGACCATCTTCACTCTTGTATTAACTCACTGACTTGGCATAGGGTATGCTGTAAGTCCTTTTGAGTTGAAAAAGAGCAGTGTGACAGTTTACAAAATGTTATAAAATAAAATACATTTTCTGTCAAAAAAGTAGGTATTCAGTAAGCATATTGTGAATGAGTGAAAATTATGTATAGACTTGAATTCTTTACTTACGTTCCACAAAGGAAGTGAAGAGCATCCTAAACCTGCTAAGCCGACTACCTTCATCTGCCCACATCCGTATCACTCCCACTCCTGTTTTCAACATTACATCATTAGCCACAGTGCTGCAAAACTTGGCCTTCAGATTTTCAATAGCACTGCTTCCATCATACACCGCCACAAAATTCCTCTTGCATTCATTTGAGTGTTCCATTTGGTAATCTAAGAACCTCAAATAAATCTGTAATATCAAAACACAAGAGTTTACAATTTTTTATTTAAAATTTTTTCTATTTTAAGATTCACAGTCAATAGTTTATACTGAATTATAACAACTGACTGAAGAACACAATGACAGAAGGGTGATCCCTTAGTAGTTAAAGAGCTAAGAAAACAGCCTCATTTTCTGGTTGTCTTAATAATGGAACCAAACATTAAGAAATCTAAAATTTATGTTTTACTTATAGAGGTGTTAATATTCTTATATAATTTAATCTCTTTATAATGATAATTCCATGGTATTGATATATAAAGGAAATAAAAGAATTGCTCACAATTTTGTTATTCTAACAATGTTATTAGTTGGTGCTTTCAGTTTTCCTGTACATTCTATTATCTATTTTCAATGTAGCATCTCATGTAGTCTAGACTGACCTTGGACTTCTGACCCTTCTCCTTTTTCCACTCAGATACAGAGATTACAGGCATGTACCATCCCACTTGGTCTCATCCAATCCTGGGAATCAAACCCAGAGGTGCATGCATAAAAGGCAAGGCCCTTGGCAGCTGAGCTGCACCCCAGCCCTTTCTGTACATCTCAAACCTGAGCTTAACAGTAAGATGCATAATACTGCTTACTTCTGTGGTAACACACCACAAGGTCATGTACAGCATTTACTGCAATCCTCATGCACATGGCACCCTACCACTTATTCACAATCCCATTGCTACTCAGTAAATTACACTTGCTACTTTTTCAGACAAAGCATAGGATCTGTATTATAAGCACTACTAGCTTCATTCATTGTATAAAATTGCAATCAGGGACCAACTGATTTATTACATTGTTTTGGTTTAGTTTTGTCTGAAGATTTCCTTTACATTTTACATTCTCAGCTACAAAGACTAAATAAACATTAATCTCTAACTGAACCTTATAAAGCAAGTGTTACTTATGCAAGAGAGATTCAACCTGCCCAGGCTCACACAGTGCAGGAAGTTTAAAAAAAGATTTATTTTGATTTATGTGCACTTGTATGTGTTTGTGTCTGTCGTGTGTATGTGGGTATCCACAGAAGCCAGAAGAGGTTATCAGGAACCCTGAAGCTGACCTTACAGTGTGGTGAACCACTGGCAAGGTTCTGGAAACAGCAAGGGCTCTCACCTGTTGAGTTATCTCTCCCTGCCCCAAGGGCAAGGACTTGAACTCAGGCTGATTTGTGTTTAAAGTATGTTTCTCAACTTTAAGGGAAACCTTACATTCACACATGCACACATATGCTCTCACTTTTTGTCTCTACTTGTCTATATGGCTCTATAATTAAAATTTTCTTGTGTGAAAAGTAGTATTTCCTCTGACCTGTCACTGAACTTAGCTGTTAACTTATGAGGCACAGGTATTCTTTCTACCCTTAAAAGGCTTAATAAAACAAAATCATGGTAGAACACTATCAAGTTTTGATCTACTAATAACTTTAATTTATTTGAAATTACCAATTTGGCATTTTCATGGTTATGAGAGAAATAAGTAATAAGACAGTAATCTGAAGCTAAAAATTGTGCATGTGCCTAAGCAAAAAAGTGACATGTTTTCAAGCTGGACGTAGTAGCATAGGTCTACAGTGCCAGCTCTTTCTGATTTCTGCTGTATTCTATTTTTTACTTCTCTATTTACTTAGAGGAGTAAATAAAGGAGCAGGAAGTTGAAGGTTATCCTTTGCTATAGAGCAAATTCCTGACTAACCTGTACTCCATGAGACTCCTGTCTTAAAAAAAAAAACCCAAACCAATCAAACAAAGCTACCTATAGGAAAACCCAAGACAAGCTTGGCATAGCAGTGCCCACCTGTAATCCTAGCACTTGGGAAGTGGAGACAGGAGTATCAGGAACTCATGCTTGCCTCACATGGCAAGTTCAAGGGTTATCCTGGGCTATATAACAGCTCAATGAGAAATCAAAATTAAAAACAATATTAACATTAACATTTAATTAATTAACATTAATACAATACTAGTACTAAGATAAAAAGTATATTTTAAAAACTACATTTACTATTTGTGTGTATCTTCGCTGGTTTTGGTCAACTTGAGACAAACCTAGACATTTCAAGGAAACAGGAATGTCAATCGAGTAAATGCTTCCATCAGATTTCATGTAGGCAAGTTTGTAGGGCTTTTTCTTAGTTACTGATTGATGTAGAAGGGCTCAGCCCATTGTGGGAAGTGCCACTTCTGGGTAGATGGTCCTTGGTGTATAAGAAAGCAAACTGAGCAAGCCTGTAAGCCTGACCTGACTTCCTCAGTGATGTACTCTTACCTGGAAGTGCTCAGATAAAATAAACCCTTTCTAAGTATACAGTATAAGTAGCTCTCATTAATTTATTATTTATGCAATAAAAACACTGTTCATGGTTCTAACACTGTAAATGTCTCCTCCATTTGACTGTAAGGTCTTCATATGACAGGGTCATATACTAAATCATAATCTAGCATATTCTTGATCACAGAAGATAATAATTAGGTTTTTAAAACTATGAATTAGAACAAGTGGGAGGAAGATAGAGGGAGAGAATACTGAGGAAGAGAACTTGAATTGGGGGGCATTTCTGGGACAAACTAGAAACCCAGTGCAATGGAAACTCCCAGGAATCCATGAGGGTGACCCTAGCTAAGACTCCTAGCAATAGGGGATATGAAACTCAAACCAGCCATCTCCTGTAACTAGGCAAGTCTTCCAGTGTAGGGACTACTATACCAACTCAGCCACACACCCTTTGACTACAATTTGTCCTGCCTACAAGATGTGCTGGGGTAAAGGTGGCACAGAAATTGTGGGGGTGGCCAATCAATGACTGGTCCAGCTTGAGAATCATATCATGAGTGGGAGCCCACCCCTGACATTGCCAGGAGGGCCAGGATCCAGAGGCTGGATGGCTCAGAGACCTAAGATAGAACCAAACTTGACTGGCAAAAAATGTCAACAAAATGATTCCTAACAATATTCTGCTATACTTATACATTGGTGCCTAGCCCAATTGTCATTATAGAGGTTTCACCCAGCTACTGGTGGAAACAGATGTAGAAACCCACAGTCAAACATTAGGCAGAGCTCAGGGAATCCTGCAGAAGAAGGGGAGGAAGGAGGCAGAGGGGACAAGGACACCACCAAAAGAAAAAAACTAACCTGAGCTCACAGGTGCTCATAGAGACTGAGCCAATAAGGGAGACTTCAACAGACTAACTTAGGCCCTCTACACATTACAGTTGTGTAGCTTAGTCTCCTTGTGGAAGTCCTAACAGTGGGAGCAGGATCTGCCACTACTGTTTCCTGCCAACTGATTCTTGTCCTTTCAGATGACTCTAGGCTGTGTCAAGTTGACAATTATGGCTAACCAGGACATTAGGTTTTTACCTATTTCTGATTTTATAATTATCTTTTACTTTCTTTAAATTTGTCATTTTTACTTTCGAAGAATTAGTTCATTAAATTCAAGCTTTTTTTCCCCCCAAAGGAAGCATATATGGTTATAAATACTCTCAAAGTATTGCTTCAAATGTACCCACAATGTTTGATGAGTATTTTAATTACTGAGTTTTATATGTATTCTAACTTCCATCCTGATTTCTTCTGTGCTATATGAATTACTAAGTAGCATGTTGTTACATTTCCAAACATTTGACCTTGATGTAGTTAGTTTAACACACTTAATTTAACCTTCCTAACGCTTTGACTCTTTAATACAGTTCCTCATATTGTGGTGACTCCCAACCATATTATTTTTGTTGCTACTTCATAACTGTAATTTTGCTACTGTTATGAATTATAATGATAGTATCTGTGTTTTCTGATGGTCTTTGGTGACCCTTCTGAAAGGGTCATTTCACTCCCAAAGGGGTTGTGACTACAGGTTGAAAACTGCTGGTCTAATGCACACACCAATTTTGATAAGTCTATGCTTAGGAAGAACACATACTGTCTAGAAGATGTTATCAAGATACCACATATTATTTAAATCCTAAGTGTCTTGTATTTTTTTTAATCTTTAGTCTATTAATTATTGAGGTGAAAGTTACTGTAAATGAATTTTTGATTTTTAGTTTATGCTTTCTATACTTTGAAGTTGAAGCCATAATCTGTAAGACTTTAAATTATGTTTTTCTTGTGAATTAGTAAGCCTGGATTTCTATTTTAATAGGTATTTTTTTTTTTTTTTTTGGTATTTGCTGGGCATTTGTCTGCCACATACATTCATGTGTATGCAGGTATTCTCACTTGTGTGTGGATGTTTAGAGGGTATCTTCCTCTCACTTTCTATCTTATTCTCTGAGGCAGGGTCTCATCATTTCAGCTAGAGTAACTGTCTACTGGGATCTGCCTGTAGTTGCCCCCACTGCAGCCCACCCCCTTCATCCCAATGCTTGGGTTATAGACATGCCAAACTCAGTTTCCTAATGTTTACTCAGAGAGCACATTACTTACTGAGCCAACTCCCAGACACATTTCTTACTTCATCTTCAAATTTTTACATGGTTATCCTATAAACAGGACTTATTTGGATTTTAAATGTTGTACCTAGTTCATTTATCATTTTTAGCCAGAAATTCCTTAGCTTTGCCTTCATTCTTAAATCAGTTCAGACACAGAAATGTAGGCTACCAGCTATTATTTTCCTTACTTTCAAAACGACTATCTCTTTGAGCTTCCACTTTACTATGAAAGGTTTCTAGGATCAATCTAAATAGCATCAGGCCAGCAAGATGGCTCAGTGGTAAAGACACCTACTGTGAAGGCTGATAACCTGACTTTGACTCCTGGGACTCAAGATGAGAAATGAGAGAACTGACTCTAGCATGTTGTCCTCTGTTCTTCATATGTGTGCCATGCATGCATATATCCCGTTCACATACGTAACACATAAGTACATGTAATCAATAAATGAGTCAATATTCCTTTGGAGGCAATCTTCCTTTCCTGTGATTGTTTAAATTTTTTCCTGACCATGGGCTCAATCTACACAGCAGCCTCTGTATTATTCCTTTCATCAATTCTTGAAAAAAATGTCTTAAGACAACTGTTACACATTCCTATTACTAAATTTCCTCAGTTTTAAAATAACCATTCCTATTATTATTGATGTTCAATACATGTAGTCCTTTAAGAAAATCTACCTGGTCAATTTTCTTCCTCATTTTTTTTTTTTTTTTGTAGGTATAGTTCTTGGTAATCTAAAACCTAGGAGTCTAAACTTATTTCTTTTTTTCTTGTTTACTCTCACCTCATGATGGACTGTGTGTAGAGAAGTTATCTAATGTGGGGTCGAGGGATGACCTTCAGTGGCATTTTATGGGTGCAAGCTCCATAGTATGTTTGGCTATTTTGGATTAATTAATTGCCTTAAAGTTGTTGTGAGCACAGGACTAGACTCTCTTATTAATGTTTGTGATTTGTATTTCCTGGACTGACTAGGGAATATCAATTAATATCCTAAACACAAAGGTAACTTTCTAGGGATGAAATCACAGGATAATGCCAGGTGTGGTGGTGCATGCCTTTAGTCCCAGCACTTGGAAGGCAGAGGAAGGTGGATCTCTGTGAGTTTGATGCCAGCCTGGTCTACAAAGCTAGTTCCAGGTCAATCAGGGTTGTTAACACACAGAGAAATCTTGTCTCAAAAACAAACAAACAAACAAACAAACTCACCTCCCCAGAGAACAAACCACAAGCCCCATAACATGTTTTTCCTTTCTAACCCTTTCATTTTAGTCATCTCCCTCTAAGGGTTCTGGATGTATAAGGGTCTTACAATTATCACAGAAGCCCTAGGCTTTTTTTTTTCTTCAGTGTTACTATTAAAACCAAACTCCTGTACACCCACCCTGACCCCTGAGCAGAAATGAATGACTGAAATCACCAGAGGCTTCTGTATCATTTTTATTTTGTTGAACTAAAATACAGTTGTCTATTTTCATAAGAATTACTGGTTTTATTTTGAACTTACATTTGCCTTTTGAGGGATTCCTAGTAAGTTTTGTACAATATTCCAAGTGTTTTTGACCTATTTTAAAACATCTCAGGTTATCTATCATTTTCTATAAATATAAATCTCATTTTCCTGTTTTTTTTTTTTTTTGTTTGTTTGTTTTTTTTGGTGGGATGGTCAGATCTTGCTTATGTAGCTCAGCTTGGTCCCTAAATCATGACATGTTCTCCCAGTTCCTCTTTCTTCCCTTTTTCTACATATGCAGAAATTAAGTCTAATTTTATCTTTGTTGATATTCCTAGACATATGTTAAAAATAAATGTGATAGTAGTCAATAATCAATCTCAGAGTTAAAGGCATTCTATTTTTAACCCTGTCCATATAGTTTCTATCCCTGTTTATTTAACTAAAAAACACTATGGCCTTAGCAGCTGCCCCAAAGAGTAAAAGAAACAAAAAACTTAAGAGTTACAAATATTTACATGAATCACATTATAGAATTACAGAAATCATGTCCTCTTATGTTCTTCTCTGAGGTAAGTCAATATATAACAAACAATACCTTAGCTTTTGGGGTAGCTTTAATTGTCCATATGCAATCAACTGCTTGCCCAGGCTTTGTTTTTTCTTCTTGTTCTACCTGGCTAGAACGGATTATTCCATCAGCTCCAGAGAGCTCAAACTGGCAATCTAGAAAAAAATAGAAAAGACATCAAAGAAAAATAAAACTAACAAAAAATGTCACAGGAAGAAAGAGGTAATATACTTAACCTGGGATGGGATTTAAAATACCTCCAAGGTAAGTAAAGTCTGGATCTGCAAAAGAAAAGAGAAGACAGTCATTGGCACTGTGCTTCCTTCAGACCTAACTTAAGCTATGTAATAAAGCTTTACTACCTAGCAACATAAGAGGCATTTTCAGTGGTAGATACTGCACATCAATAGCAAGTGTGAGAATATTTATAGGGGTTGAAAATCTGTACACTTTTGATTTGATGTAGTAGCTAGTCTACTAATATATGGACAGATAAAGTATGGTATATTTAATACAATGGGACACTATTTAGCCTTAAAAGGAATATATTTCCTTTGTGTTGAGCTATAATAAATGTTTTTTAAAATGTTTGATTCAATGTATAGTGGTGATATTTGCAAAATAATATAAATATAAAGTCAATGTTACTGACTTATAAATAGTTAATATTTAATCACAGTCAAATGTTCTTTTTAAAAATATTATACAGATGCCTCAACAATTATTTCTAAGTTAAAAGAGGAACCACAAATAAAAAACTGTATATGTAATCTGGAAAACCTAACTTACATTCATGGTTTACTCCAAGCAAGAGGACACTCAATTCTTAGAAATACTGTTTTTAATTGAAGATACTTTAGAAAGTTACCAAATTACATATTGGAAATAAACTACTAGCTTAATTTCAAATACATTTTAGTGAGTGTTCTTTTCAAACTAAAACTAAATTCGTCCTTGTTTAAAGACTCCACTCGTGAACACCAGCTCTTTCGCAATAAATAAATAAATAAAAATCAAAGAATTAAAATCTTAAACTGTATTGGGGAAAAGTTATATGATCTTTTTGGAAAATTGATCAGAATTTATTCTTCTTTTGTTTTTAAAAGTTTTATTTATCTATTTGTTTATTTATAGACAGGGTGTCTCTACAAAGCTCTGTCTGTCCTGGTATTCACTATGTAGATCAGGCTGGCCTTGAACTCACAAGAGATATATTTTGTTATTTTAGTGTATCTAGATTGGCCTTAAACTTACTATGTAGTATGTAATTGTAAATATGCCTTTAAAGAACAGCAAAGTAAGTACAGCTGTATTTTAGTCAATTATGTATCCCATATTTATTGTATGAGTTTATTTTGTAAGTTTAGAGATAAAACTGGGGAATCCCTGACCTACAGTAAAGAAGAAATATGACAAATAGAAAAAAATAACCTAGGAAGCTCAGTAGAAAATCGATTTTCTACTGTATAGAAAAATACTTAGTCCCTAAAAATTCTTATCTAAAACAGGATATTATATAATCTTTAAGATGTTTCCATTAGTGTAAAATTTAATATGATAAAGGTTGTACCAGAAGCCTTGTGAGGTACAAAGATAAAATATTCTGGAAATTCCTAGCATTTTACCTATAAATTGTATAAAAATTTTCACAATATGTAAAAAGAACAAAACAAAACCACTTTTGTTCAAAGCCTGTGTCAGTACATAGAAAGTTGGTTGACTTGGTAATTAATTCGGTGTGTATGTGGAAGTCAGAGGACAACTTTCAGAAGTCAGTTCTCTCCTGCCGCCTTGTGGGAGTCTGGGGATTACATTCAGGTTGCTTGGCCTATGTGCAATTGCTACCTGCTGAGCCATCTTTCCAGCCCTAAATTTGGTTATTTAACAACTGGTTTTAAAAAAAAGAATATTAAAAATAGTGTATGTATGTAGAGGCCAGAGGTCAACTTGGGTATCTTCTTCTGTCATGCTCTACTTTTCATTTTAATTAGAAATAGGATCTCTCATTGAACTTAAAGAATCTCTCTCATATAGAACCTACAGTCTGTGAAGGTTTTGGCTGAATTAGTGGGTCAGAGCCTTTAGGATTCACTTGGGTAAACTGCTATGCACATGAAGGCCTAACTCCCTTGTTAAAGAAACCACGTAAAAATGAAAAACAGTGTGGTGGCACACACCTGTAACCCCAGAGACCAAGTGTTTTGTTGTCTGTTTTTTTGTTTCAAGAACTCTAAACTTGTAAAGATGTGACTCATATATAAGATTTTGTAATAGAATTTTATGACACTAAATTGATTACTTCAGTTAATGTAGGCTATAAACATTTAAACAAATCACTTATTTTGTTACTACTGGTTTTCAAACTTCAACTTCACTGGGCAGAATTCCCTGTGTATCACCTAGTCAGTCATCATTCTTACCCTCACCATTTTGAGAAAAAAAAAAAAATTGCCACGTTTCAGCTGTAATAAATCACAAATAGAACATACTACATTAACTAATTAACTATGGCTTTTGAGGCAGAGTCTTGCATATAGCCCAGCTGTCCTTAAATGTGTTCTTTCTCCCTCAACCTTCAGAGCAGCTGGGGTCATAAGCATGTGGCACCACACCTAGGTATGCTTTGACACAGTTGTTCAACAATTACCACTTTTTATTTTAAGGACTAGTTTTCATCATCACAAAAGTCTGTACTCATTACAGTATTAACTTTCTACTTTCTACTTTCTATTTCCATGAATTTGTCTACTTGATATTGGAACACAGTCTAAGTATGGAGTTGTGTGAGAATTCTGAGTGCTTGTGAGAAACTGCAAGAAACCAAGACAAAAACAGAATTCTTCTTGGAATGTTTTCGTGCTCCTCCCAGGAATATTGGACAGTAGTGAGTTTACTTCAGCTGTGTTATTCATATGTCTCTATGAAAATGCTTTTTTTTTTGCCATGTGTGACTTGTCCTTGTAATTGAGTACCTTACTTATGTGACTCTTCTTAACTCTCAAGAGTAAAAATTGGCTGATGTTCTGAATAAAGTTGGCTATTGCATAAGACTTTTTTGTTCACTTCATTTTTAGGAACCCTCTTTTCCAAGTGTATGACACCAACCAGAGTGGTAAAGAAACTTTAGGTAACTTATATAACTTGACTGATACAACATTTGCCTTTTGTTTCTAAATAATAATTTTCATTAGCACTTATCACAATTTACCTTGGAGTCCTCATGGTAGAGAACTGATTCCTACAAGTTATCTACTAACCTCTACTCATGTACTGTGACAAACATATACAAATATACACAATGAATGTAACACACACACACACACCCATCACCTATTAAGTCATGGAAAAATCTTATGTTCATATAACTAAGAACCTGAAAAATCAACATACTGCATGACCCCAACAGTTGATGACATGGAAATGGGAAACCAATAAAGAGGCTAGTGGTCATCAGCAGTTTAGGGGGAGAGAGGAATGTGCAGTGAGTGAGTGGAGAATAGGGAATTTTTAGGCAGTGAAACCGCTCTGTATAACAGAGGATAAATGCTATTTAACATACTCATTGGACATATAATACCAAGGGTGAGCTACAATGTAAGCTTAAGACTGGGTAATTATGATGTGCCCGTGTTGGTTACTGGCTGTACCAAATATACCACTCTTTTGGTAATATGTGGATATAGGGGAGTATAGGGGTGCATCTGATAACTACTTCCTGTTCATTTTGCTGTGATTCTGAAATTGCTATTAAGTCTATTAGACGAATTTTACTGTTTGAAAATAATTGTCCTTTTGTTATTAGACAGATGATACAGATACAAAAAACTTCCATAATGTTTATTGATTCAGATACAAAGTGGTTTAATTTTTAAGGGATAAAAAAGCTGGTAATAGAGCTGTATGCATAGCATGACCAGTTTTGTAAAAGCAAACTGAATAAAGAAATCCATTTTAAGAGATAATTACCAAATTGTCAGCAATGATTTTAAACATAAAGTGACAGGGTTATAATTAGTTTCATTGTGTGTATTTTTCAATTTACAAATTTCTTCCATAAAAAAAAAACAAAAAATATTATATACTTGCTGCACAATGTTGGTTTTTCATTTTGTTATATTTGTAAACTCCTTGGGCACAATAACATACTGATTTCTGAGTTTCCACATTAGAGTACATGTACTTTTCACTGGATAGAGCTTTAGAGTTCTCACAGCATCTGACCAGTGTTCTTACCTACAAGGTAAGGCTGCAGTGTCGTAGTGCCCAGATATACCCACATCCAAATACCTGGGAATTTTACTTTATATGGTTATAGAAAAGTGAATAGTATATTACAACACAAAGTACATCAACAAGAATTTTAAGACTGGGTCTGGATTAGTGATTAACAGCACTTTCTGAAGTTTCCCCTGGACAAAAAAACAAAACAAAACAAAACAAAAACAAAAAAAACAAAACAAAACAACAACAACAAAAAAAAACAAAAAAAAAAAAAAAAAAAAAAAAACCCAGCACTTTCTGCTCTTTGCAGAGAAAATTGGAGTTCTGTTCCCAAAACCCATAGGGCAGCTCACAACCACCTGTAACTAGCTTCTGGGGACACGAGGCCCTCTTTTGGCCTGGGTATAAGTACATACAGACAGAGACAGATACATACCAAAAACAAACAAACAAACAAAACCACGTACACAAATAACTAAAAAGAATTTTAAGAGAAGATGTGACAGAAATGCTTGATAGTCTTCCAGACCTTGGAAGAGATAAAGAACAAATCAAATTGGGTTTGGTGGTGCACACCTTAAGTCGCAGCAGAAGCAGGCAGAGTTCAAGGCTAGCATGGTCTACATAGAGAGTTTGAGGACAGCGTATAGCTACACAGAGAGACTGTCTCAACCTCTCACTTACACTCCCAACAAAACAAGATTCAGTGAGTGAGGCTTTCCTGGATTTTGGAATTTTCAGCTTCCAGAACTACAACTTATATTTCTCTCTTTCTTTAAGATACCAGACCTGTATTATTTATTTCAGATCCAGGAAATGAATACAGAAGGTATCATTACTTTTACTATTGCCAAGTCTCAGGCACAACTTTGTGCTTAAATGTTATAGCTAATGGGTGGTAGAGAAAAGACTCAAACCCAGATCTAGCCTTTTTAAATGCGGATACAGTGTTAATTCAATTATTAAGTAGTTTCTAAAGTATTGATGAATGGTTAATAAGCACAATTAAAAAAAATCTGCCATTGTGGAAATTGTGAAAAGACAATGGATTGCATTATTTAAAGATATATATTTATTTTGATGTTGATCTTAAATATGTTCTCTAAAAGATATGTAAGAAGAAAATGCAACTTTGCTTGGTCTCTCACAGAATTAGATTGGGATGTGGTCTACTGCTCCCTATTTTAAACAGTTTTTACATATTCCTAGACTGATTTTCTTTTGACTTTGACAATTTCTTTAGTCTTAATCTGATTATCTTAATCAAATTATTCTTTTCTAACCTTAGGATTCTAAAATCAATAATATACTCAAATACTGAAAAGTAACTTATTTTCTAAGGACACTTAATTTGTTACCTGGAATGAATGAGTATTTTGCTCGAAATCCTAGTCCTTCAAGTTCTTCATCAGAACTAAATTTAATCCACATGAATCTTCCTGTTGACCTAATTAACGCAGGGCTTTTCATGCCACAGTAACGATCTATAAGAGGGGAGAAACCAAATGGCCCATCTCGAATTTCCAAGTGATCAAAGCGACATTCAAATGATGGTTCTATATAATAGCGTTCGTCAAAGGTCAGCTCTATCCGTTGACGAGGAGCAGCTATAAGGTAAGAGTAAGCAAACAGCAGCATGAACAAGACATACATGTACCGACACAGATGAGACAAGCAAATCAATGACTTCAGTGAGAATCTGAGAATCTCACTGAGAACGTATGTAAAGCCATCAGAAAAGTTCTTTCAAAGGAATAATCACGCTACGTCATAGAATTACAAGCAACATTTCCTTGAGGTATATGTCATTTATTAATTTAGTTAAATATACTTGGTTGACTAAAATTAGAAGAGGTGGAAGGCTAATTCTTGCTTACTCCACTAAAAAACAATGTGCTATATGCAGTGCATCATATGTGCTAGAGAAAAACAAAGGAACTCAACACAAACAGAAAGCCTAGCAAGGCGTGTCAATGAACTTACATTCCTTATCAGGGAAGCTTCTCATACAGGGACACACTTAGCTGAACTATATTTTAAACAATTACAAATTCCCATTAAAATTAGGTATCATTTTGTTAATGTATTAAATATTTACAATATTTAGCTTTATTGTAATTCAAACATTTAAATTTTGTTCAAACTGGTTTAAACAAGGTATTTAGTTAATGCTCTTAGTTTTACAGTGAAATAAAAGTTTATCCAAGAAAATACAGAGATTTGTCAAATACCTTCCAAAATATAGATACACTCCTTGTTTGGCGGATATGAGTCAGGATAATTTGGGGAAGCAAAATGACCTCCATTGCTGGTTCGAACCCAAATGCCACACTGGGTTGCAGGAATATGCTTGATCCCAATATTTTGTCCATCTTGAACAGAATTTTAAATATCATTTTAGTGAAACACTTTCTAAAAAACAAAACAAAACAACAAAAACCAAAACAAAACAGAAGCAAGCTCCAAACAGAGAAAATCAAAGAGTGAGAAATTTTAGGGCAGAGGTTCAATGCCCGTAGGTGTGTTAAGTTTTACTGGACCATATTAATGCCCTCAATTGCTCATTTTGGCTGCTTTCACACAACAAAAGAACTGGGTCACTGCTTCAGAGACGGCCTCACAGAGGCTTAGATATTTATTGGCTCTGTCTATAAAAAGTTTTGTAATTCTTAGTTTATGGAATAAAAATTGAGGAACTCTTCCAGACTGGAACAAAAATATATGTGAAAATATACAGAAATTAAATTTATATTTAATTGATTATATTGAATTTTATAATAAACCCAATACTTTGTATGTTAACTTAAAAAGTGATACAAACCCAAGAAGGCTGTAAGTAAATAGGGATTCCCGAAAAGACAGAATAGAGAAAACAAAGGAAGAATTTTTTATTATTAATGAATTAATTAAAAATTTTCAGCACAATCAGTTTTCTCTCCCTCCTCTCCTCCCAGCCCTACCCCCCAACCTCCCCACAATGCACTCCCTTTCCTTTCCTGAGGAGGAAATTTTAAAAATTGAACAAAACCAAAATATTCCTAAACCTAAAGGCAAAATTTATATTTAAAAACTCTGATGAGTGGTTTAAATACTGAGTGCTGATTTTTACTTTTATTCATTTATTTTTGATGGGATGGGTCTTGATAAGTTGCTCAGGCCAGTCAGACCAGCTTTGAATTTGTGATTCTCCTGCTTCAACCCCACAAGTGGCTGGGATTAAAGGCTTGCACTACAAGACCTGGTTCTGAATGCTGACTTGACCAGAATTATGATGCAATTCTATCTACAAGGAAGGTCCTGCAGGGAAGAAAGAGAATGCTTATATTTATACTGTGTAAAGGGGTGAACAGTGGGTATATAAAGGAACTAAATTCTCACGTTTCATGGTGAGATGCTGTTGAAAACTGAAATGACCAAAAAGCAGCAGCTATTTAAAGAGTGCTAATGAAAGGTTTTAAAGATGAAAAAAAGAAGTGGCTATTTTTGGGTTAGGATGATTTAGAGCAGTGGTTCTCAATCTTTCTAATGCTTCAATCCTTTAGTACAGTTTAGTACAGCTGTGATGATCTCCAACCATACAATTATTATTATTATTGAGGTAGGGTTTCTCTGTGTAGCTCTGACTGTCCTGGAACTCACTCTGCAGTTAAGGCTGGCTTCAAACTCAGAGATCAATCTGCCTCTGCATCCTGAGTGCTGGGATTAAAGGAGTGCTCTACCACCACCCAGCCATAAAATTATTTTCATTGCTACTTCATAACTGTAACTTTGCTACAGTTATGAATCACAATAAAAATTTTTTTTTGGAGACAGGTTTGGCATAGGGGTTGTGACCCACAGCCTGAGACCCACTGGTCTGGAGGGTTAAAAGCTCATGCTTTGCAAGATGATGACATGATTTCAGTTTCCATAACAAAGGGAGTGGTAGGAGAGAACCCATTTCCCGAAGTTGTTCTGCTCTACAGATGTGCACTGTAACATATATGTGTCTATCTTTCCCTACACAAAATAAAGACAAAGTTTAAAATGATAATGGTTTTCATAAAGCTGGAAATAGGAAGAATAGAATGAAAAATAATTTTTCCCAATTATTGAGTATATTTTGATTTTTTTATCATGTGAACATATAACTTTGATGAAAATAAATAAAAAGTTGTAAAGAAAATGCATTAAACTCTGACCTGAAATTTTGCTTAAAAACAAACAAACAAACAAACAAACCCACCCTCACTAGCTAATCTTTCAAGCCAGACAATACAATAGAACCAAAGGTCTTTGGAGACTTCACTGAAAGGTTGCTTGCTCACAGTAGAAAAGGCACTTTCATTTTTCCTGGGGATAAAACTAAATTTCATTGACATTTGGATATAATTAACAGTGTATTAAAAGCTATTAGTGATGCTGGCTTTTAAAAAGTTTATCAGGGCAAGCTTTGGGTAGACAATTTAGCAGCCGATTCTGGTTAAATTGAGGTCTATAGGTTGACAGAAAGCTTTAGGTCATTGCAATACTCAAGAGGAATATGTTGGTTAGTATTTTTTGTCAGCTAAGCTAGTGTCATCTAAGAGGAGAGCTCAGTTGAAAAAAAAAAATGCCTCTAGAAGATTGGTGTGTAGGCAAGTCTGTGGGGCATTTTCTTGACTAATGATTGATGTAGGATGGTCCAGCCCACTGTGGGTAGAACCACCCTGGACAGCTGATCCTGGGTGCTGTAAGAAGGCAGGTTGAGCAGGCCCTGGGGAGCAAGCCAGGCTTCAGTTCTTGCCTCCAGGATCCTGCCTTGGCTCCTGCTCTGATTTCCCTTGATGATGAACTGTGATGTGAAACTGTAAGTTAAATAAATCCTTTCCTCTCCCAAACTGTTTTTGATAATGATATTTTTATCATAGTAATAGAGGAAAACAAAGACAAAGAATTATGAAATAGCATTCAAAAGTTCGAATTCTTTCAAACTTTCTGAACATACCATATCCCTGTCCATACATTACCTTGAGTCTTTTGGGCCACAGCAATCCCTTCCACTACAAGTACTGTTATTAACAACACTAGAGAAAGAACAAAAAAGAATAGTTAAAATATTTAATTTATATTAAATTTTCTATAAGATTAACGACTAAAATTATTTTTGTTTGTTTTTTGAGACTGGGTTTTTCTGTGTAGCTTTGTAGATCAGGCTGGCCTTGAATTCAAAGAGACCTGCCTACCTCTGCTTCCTGAGTGCTGAAATTTGAGGCATGTGCCACCACCACCCAGCTCTAAAACTACTTTTTAAAGATGGGTTTTGTTATGGAGGCCAAGCTGGCTTTGAACTAAAAATTTGCCTTCCTTTATCTCCTAAGTGCTAGGATTATAAACATGTGCTACCACAGTTGGCTCAAAATCATTTCTTACCAACATTCAACACTGAATCTTTGAAACACTAAATATTATGAGAGCTGGCTCACTGGGTAAAGGTGCTTGTCACTGAGCCTGATAGTCTGAGTTTGATTTTTGGAATCTATATGGCAGAAGAATGACTTCTGAAAGTTGTCCTCTGAGCTCCCATGAGTACTATGGTAGGAATGTGTAAAAGCTTGAACATGCAATCACATACACACACACATATGCACAATGAACACAAACAACTATGTTCTGATTTATTATCACGCAATCAAAGAAAAGCTGTAACTAGTTTCTACTTATTTATATAAGCACTAATAAATATTATGTGGCATTTAGAACTTCATTATGAAAACAAGCCTCCCTTTTTGTGTTGTACAGGGTTTTGATAACTGACTATTCCATTTACTCCACCTGAAATGTGTTTATGTACGTGGCTAGCTGTGCAGTATGTTATGCCAAACCTCACCTGGATCACCTGACTTCCAGAAGTCAACTGAAGCTGCTATTGTGAATCACTGTGCTGCAGTTTGTGCTTAACAGGAAGCCATATTTAGCCACTATATTATTTCACTTCTCACTCCCAATATTTGAGATCCAATCAACAATATATTCTTTTTGGTGTGTTTTGGAGATTTAAAAGGCATTTTTAGAAATGGTACCTTCTTCCATTCACTGGAAAACATATTACCAGCCTGCCCCAAACTACCATGTGACTGAAATAGATATTCATTTTAATTAATCTTCTCTACTGAAGAGCAGGTTCTGTGAAGGCAAAGACATGGCTAGAGAAATCAGCAAAATGCCTAACAGTATGGACTTCAGGAGCTAGATGAATACAGGAGTTTAGGTTTTGTCTTATACCAGCGTACTAGCTGTGAGGCTTTTAGCTTATTTTACTTATTTGAAAAAATCAGGAAGGTGTACTAATATTATGAGACTAGTCTCAATGGTATGCATATCATATTATATGTACCAAGCATTCTACCAAATAAATGGTAGATATTAGAACAATTAACATCTTCCTAGAGTCAACTGTCAAAGACTGTCTGTAATACGGGTGAACAGAGAGGTTTAAAGATTGCATAATAGAAACATGGAGAGGGGAACCAATACTCATTTTTCTGGATATAAAAGAACAAAGTGAGGAAAACATCTGGAAGAGAGGTTTATGGTTTATTCTGACAGACCTAATTAGACTTGAATCCTTGAGGAAGAAATATGGTGGTGTAGCAGGTTAGAAAAAGGCTAGGATATGCTGGGAGGGCAAAAGTTCTTAAATGCCATGCTGATGAATTTGAGCTTTCAATAATAATAATAATAATAATAATAATAATATTAATAAAACCACTGTAGGCTTTTGTTTGTTTATTTATTGTGGTGTTAGGGATTGAATCCATAGCCTTGTACATGCTAGCCAAGTACAGTAAAATTTAGACACATTTCTCACTATAGGTTTTATTTTTTTGCTTTACATTGTTGACAGGATTTTACTATGTAGCCTTGGCTTGCTGGAACTGAGAGGTAGGCCAGGCTGGCCTAGAATTCAGAGATCTGTTTGCCTCTAAATTCAGAGACAGGCTGGGATTAAAGGCATGCACCATAACACCCAGTCACATACTTTTGGGTTTTAAGCCAAGAGAGTGTATAACTGCATCTAAATTTCAGACCAATATTCCTAAAGGAGGCCAAACTTATAAAAAAGATCATTTGAGAAGTAATGGTGATGTACTGAAGCAGAGAAGTGACTGGAATTTGAAGGCAGAGAGACTAATGACATGATTAAGACACAGAGTGAACTGCAATTTATAACTTACAAGATGTTAGGGGAGAGGGAAAAAGAGTTATTGAAGACTTTGCCAAATGACACAGAAAGAGTGAGTAACAGCACAGGTTACTTAATGGCATGCCTTCAGTATCTATTAACAGGGTCATGAATGTACAAAGATATAGTTCTTGTTAATTAGTTTACAACTTAAAACCTGAGTATTTGACCTCTTCATCTTGGTTTCTTGAATCCTTATTAACCTTTGTCTCCTTTCAACTATATGAATTGCCTTTCCATTTCAAAGATATTTTTTATGTATGATGCCTTTTTCACCAACCTGCCCCAAACTACTGTGTGACCTGAAGTAGGTACTGGACTTTCAATTACAACAACAACAGCAACACAACATAACAAAATCCATTGTAGGCTTTTGTTTGTTTGATTAAAGATCCCACATCAAAATGAAAAATCCTTTTTTTTTTCTTTTAAATTCCCATTTTAGGTGTGGTGGGGTATGTCTTTAATCCCAGAACACAAGAGGCAAAGGTAGAGAGTCTCAGTGAGTTCTAAGATAGCCAGGGCCATACTGTGAGATCCTATCTAAAAACAAAACAAAACAAAACAAAACACTTTTCATCTTTATACTGGAACCGAGTTAGAGGAACAGAGCCTGGAACTTAAAAAACAATAATCACAACAAAATTAGAAGATTTATGATTTAAAAAAAAAAAACCAAAAACCAAAAAAAAAAAAAAAAAAAAAGCAAGCTTCTTGTCCTGAATCATTAGGAATTTGAAATTCAGAAAGTAAAACATCCATTTATGTCAGTTACCCTCTCAGAGGAATCTATTTCCCCTGGCGTATCATTCAGATGACACACAACTGCTCAAAAATTTTGTTCATGTTCTTTTCCTTCATAAATCCCAGGTACAATTATTTATCAGTTTTTAAATTTATAACTCATAGCTTTAAAGCAAGTGACAGAAAGACAGTAGGCAGGGTAAGGAATCAACAAACAGGGGCTGGAGAGGTGGTTCAGGGGTAAAAAGCACATAATGTTCTTGTAGGGGACTCGGGATTAAGTTCCCAGCATCTACACAGTGGCTCAAAATGATCTGTAACTCCAATTCCAGTGGCTCTGACGCTCTCGTCTGGCCTCCAAGAGCACTAGGCACACATGTGGTATACATACATACATGCAGGCAAAACATTTATAAATGTGAAATAAAAATAAACAATCTTTAAAAAAAAATCAACAGAAGCAAGAGAACAACAGTACAACTATGATTAAAACAAACTGTCAGAAGATTAAAAACATAGTAGGCAATAAACACTCATACACATAAAATAAAATTTAAAAACAAATGGTTCTGGGATAGTATATTAAACAAAGAAATAATTGGCCAGTGATGGCACACAGCTTTAATCCTAGCACATAGGAGACAGAGGTAGGTCAAGGCCAGCCTGGTCTACAGAGTGAGTTCTAAAACAGCCAGGGCTACACAGATAAACCTTATCCTGAAAAACAAAAACAAACCCCCAGAATAAGACCAAACCAAAAATAAGTTCCAGATTTGGATTTGTGTGAATAATTTCAATAAAGACAAAAACAAGTATTTTTATTTTGTATCAAAATATTTAATATACATATTCATTTTACATGCACATGGGAAAAATGGTTGTATCATTAGCAATACGTACCAAAATGTAAAACAAACAAATCCAGTTGTATTGATATTAAACAATATAGATTTGGGGCTACAGTGAGGGCTCAGAGGTTAAGAGCAGTTGCTGTTCTTCCAGAAGATGGGAGTTTGCAGCACTCAATGCCAGTGACTCAAAAGTGCCTGTACCACAGTGCTAGGAGATCCCGCAGGTTCTTAACAGTTTCCTTGGACATCTGTACACATATGGCATATATTATCTCTCACAACATTCACTCTAATAAATATTTAAATAAAAACATAGTTTTTAATGAAAACAAAAAAATCACTAGGAAAATTTTTAAGGCAAAAGGAGAATTTCATCAAATAGTTTATAAACTGGGGAGTCAGAGCCATTAGCATAAACTGTTAGTGTGATCCAAAGGACCAAAGAAGGCTTGGCTTATATTAAGTTCCTCGCCAAGTTCTCATGTTGGCACAAGTATTAGTAGTGACTGGTTGGTATTTAAAGTTTAACGATGGGTGTGGTGAGGTACATCTTGTGATAGTTTGAATGTAATTGGCCCCCATAAGCTCATAGGGAGTGGCATTATTAGGAGGTGTGGCTTTGTTGGAGTAGGTATGGCCTTATTGGAGGAAATGTGTCACTACAGGGACAGGCTTTGAGGTCTCATATATGCTCAAGCCGTACCCAGCGAGACAGACCACTGCTTGTGAGTCGAGATGTAAGATCTCTCAGCTCTTTCTCTAGCAACATGTCTACCTGCAGGCTGCCTTGCTTCCTGCCATGATGATAATGGACTAAACCTCTGAACTGTAAGCAAGTCACTACAATTAAATGTTTTATAAAAGTTGCCATGGTCATGGTGTCTCTTTCCAACAATAGAAAACCCAAGACATACCTGTAACCCCAGTACTCAGTAGGCAGAGACAGGAGATCTCTGTGAGTTCTGCTCCAGTCTGGTCTATAAAGGCCTTCTAGGGCTAGAGTGATACCCTCTCTCAAAACCAAACCAAACCACCAAACAAACAAAACAAAATGTACTTTACTGTAGGTCATACAGTTCATTGGTTAGGTTTGTTTATCTTGGCAGCTGAAATAGGAATATGACTAGGCATGGAATTCCAAAAGTCCAGCTTGTCATTTCTCCATGAAAATACTACGTATGTGACACCAACCCACCCCTCCATCAGCAAACTGTTATCAGACTCTTCTGCCAGTGAGGGTATCCAG